AAATCATTTGACTGCCTTCCCGATTGAATTTTTAGCTGCAATTTGGTATGGGTAAACTAGACTTAATGAAGAAGATGGTCAAACAATTTCATCAAAAAATTCCACCGGGAACCGCCCCAATTGGCGACGGCCGCGCAGAACCTCCTATATAAGGGGCTAATTGAACACTTTAAGTTAGTTCATGTACCTATTTGACCTTTTAGCCTTCCTTTTTTAATTATTGTTTGAATATTCTACCAACAAAAATTAATGAAATCAATAAATTAAAAAAAAAAAAAAAAGAGTAAGACAATTAATGCATTCATACGTTTCTTTCAATAAAAGAAGGGAAGACAGAAAAATTTAACAAACATGTGTATAGAATTAAGTACGGATACAAACGAGTTCATTTTATATATTTCCTCCGTTCTTTTTTAAATGCAATGGTCCATTTTTCACGTTTGCCAACACACAAGTTTGATCATTCATATCTTTCATTCCTTATTAGGAAAAAATTAAAAAAAAAAATAGATTTTGAAAATTTGAAATGATAAGGATTTAAAAATATTTTTGTTTAAATTTAATTTATAATATATTCATAAATAAAATAGAGTCAATGTATAACACGTGAATAGTTGAAAAAGTCCAATGTTGCATTTAAAAAAAAAACGGAGGGAGCATTTGATAAAGAAAATTATGAACGTGTTCAAGATTCAGTACTGAATTTTATATATTTTTTCAATATATAAAATCATTCCTTTTAGTACTTAATTTTATATATTTTTTTCAATATATAAAATCATTGCTTTCAGTACTTAATTTGAATGAAAGAAACGTGTTCAAGATTCATGGATTCAAATTTCTTTCAATAATGAAATCAACTTCATATCATACTTATTGTCTTTCCATATGTAAATGGGGTTACATTTCAGGTAAGTAGATACGGTGTATATATATAGTGTATAAACTATAACAAACGTGTGTATAATGTTTTGTACAAATTATGTAGTATGTATACAAGCGTACTTCATGGATTCAATATATATAAAAAAAACGTATTCCCTTGTCATATTAAACTTACATACTCCGTATATAATATTGGTGTACGTTTGACAAAAAAAACGTATTCCCTTGCCATATTAAACTTACATATTGGTGTACGCTTGACCAAAAAAACGTATTCCTTTGCCATATTAAACTTACACCAATATGTAAATCAATTTAAATATCTTATTATACTTAATGGTCAAGTTATGTAGTACGTATACAAGCGTACTTCATATCACACTTATTATCTTTCCATATATACATGGAGTTGCACTTTATTAACATTTAAATACGGAGTATATATATAATGTTCATTACCAAACAATTAAGATCACACGAGCTGTTTTATTCCCTTTCAGAGTTAAGTTGTCTTTTCTAAAATGTGTGATTTTATAAAAAACGTATCTCTTGGCTGTCAAAGTTGGAGACTCCAAGTCCGACTTATGAGAAGATGGACAGTTTTCGACAAGGACTCACCTACTACGAAGAAAACAATAGAGCTGGTCCTTCTAGATGAATGTGTAAATACTTTTTTTTTTAGTTTTTATAGTATGTTTTATATGATTTCATTTTACATTTGAGAATGTTTCAATATTTTGCTATTAACATTGTTTTTTATTTAGTATTAACATGAAATTGATTTATTTAATATGCTATGCAGGGTGATTCCATTCAGTGCACAGTCGGCATAAAATTTATTCAACGATTTGGGGATTTATTAGTTGAAGACAAGTGCTACAAAATGTGTATATTTTATGTTGGGGTTAATCGTGGACGCTTTTTGGCTACCCAACATAAATATCGTCTAAATTTTACAACTGCTACTATTGTCAATGAAATAAAGGATTTAGATATCCCATCCACTTTTTACGATTTTTCGCCTTTCAAATCTATTTTGAATCCATCATTTGACTGTGCCCATTTAGCAGATGTCATTGGTCAGGTGTTTGATCCCAATTTAGAAACAGTACCTCTGAAAACTGGTGAGGAGAGGCTAAAATTACGCATGCTAGTACAAGACACCGAGTAAGTAATTTTTTTATATATTACTAATTACTTATGTGTGTATGCATGATTCACTAAATCTTATTTTAAAAATTTGCAATTTTTTTGGTGTAGAGGGACGACTCTACCGTGCGTGTTGTGGGGTGAAAAGGCCACATATGTCGGGGAAGAAATTCAAAACAATCACAGGCCACCTTTTATAATTGTTATCCGATTGGGACTTATTGACACATTTAATGGTAACTTAAATCAATACATTACTTATTTGAGAATTGTAATATATGACATATTTAATGATACATGCTTTAATTTTTTACAAGGTGAATCATACGTCACTACGTTTTTCGAAAATTGCATAGTTGTTTTGAATGAAAAGGACAAGTGGTGCACTCAATTTCGAGAGAGGTATGGAGAACAAAACAATTATGTCCGTTATAAAACATATAATAATACTTTAAAGAGCTAACACTACGTTTTGTCAATTTTTTAGTATCTTAAAAGAGCACACAACCTCAACTCAATCACTAAGTCTTACCCATGCTTCTTACAAGAGAAAGAGCACTGAAGAGTTATTTTTAGATGTTTATGCCTCTAAAACAGTCGCTGAATTAGTAATTTTTGAAGAGGTACTTCTCTCACTACATCTATTTTATAAATATATTTTTTTATCATTTATTCAAGCAATATGTTTGGATTGTGAAATAAATTCTTCATAAGTTTTGATTCATACCTTGAGAGATAAGTTTCAATAATGACCAATTTTACATTGCAATACAAAAAGTAACGAAGAAAGGCATCTTAATATATTTATATATTCAAAAGAAATAAATTTCTTCACCGAGGCGGTGAAGAAATATGGTGTATATATGGTGTATATTCACCGAGGAGGTTTTCCAAAACCTAACAATGTGATATATGGTGTTTGCGGTGTTTTACATTACAATGTCACTATTCAGTACTCCTTTTGTCCCATAGACAGGTTCTCACTTTTGTTTTTAAAATGTCTCATATAAAGGTTCTCATTTATATTTTAGGAAATAATTAACACTCTTAAATGATAATTTACTCATTAAATATTAAAAATAACACATTTATAACATCACAGTTATCACTACTAATCTCACTATACTACCTCCGTCCTACTTAATAATGTGACAAAAAGGATGGTGCGATTATTTAGAAAAGTGAGTTAATTTATGTGGTTGATATTATATTGAATTGATAAAATAAGAATAAAGTAAGAATGATTTAAAATCATCAATCCTTACCAAATTTAGTATGAGACATTCTTAGTGGGAGAGACCGAAAAGAAAGGATGTGACAATTTTAGTGGGACAGAGGGAGTATTAATATATATATATATATATATATATATAGAGAGAGAGAGAGAGAGAGAGATGTTCAGGTCCGAACATTCCTGGTCCGAACACCGTCCGAACATGGACGTTTGGGGCTGTTCCCGGTGGAATTTTTTGATGAAATTTTTTGAGCATGTTCCTCATCAAGTCTTGTTTGTCCATACCAAATTTCAGTTCAAAATTCGATCGGGAAAGCATTCAAATCATTTTTTGAAGTTGACTGCGTCAAAATATACTTATAAAAAACGCAGTCAACTTCAAAAAATGATTTGAATGCTTTCCCGATCGAATTTTGAACTGAAATTTGGTATGGACAAACTAGACTTGACGATGAACATGCTCAAAAAATTTCATCCAAAAATTCCACCGGGAAGGGCCCCAAACGGGGATGTTTGGACGGAGGATCCTGTCCGAACGTTCGGACAGAATCATTCTTGTATATATATATATAAACAATTCTAAATTAAAAATATACTCAAATTACCTTATTTAATTATTGTGTAAATAATCATCCCTTTTAAAGGTCCCCTGTCCCCATGACAAATTTAATTTGTATATTCCTTTTAATTAATTTGTTACCCACAACGAACAAACACCTATTTAAAGTAAAATGATAATCTATATATATGTTGTAAAAATATATATGTTACGAAGTGTTGAAAAATATATTAAAACACTAGTTTAAAATTATATCCGTTTGTTGTTTAGACTATATTTAATTAACTCTAATAGATAGGTTCATGTCAATACATAATACAATGCATAAATGTTTACACTTACAATACACTTAAAAAATAAAACCAAAATGTTACCAGCCAATCAACTGGGACCGGCCCGGAAGGTCGAAACTCGGAACCTTATATAATGCTCCCAGTCCACGTTCCAAAAACACTTTAACCACTTCTATTCTAAAATACTACTCCCTCCGTCCCTAATAAAACTTCCAAATAGGTTTGGCTAGGGCTGGACTCGGGCCGGGCGGCCCGAACCGGAACCGGCCCGGCCCGGTTACTGTGCGAACCGGCCCGGCCCGGTGGCCCGGTCCACCGGCGGTTCGGGTCGAACCGGCCCGGTGGATACCGGGCCCGGGCCCTCCATTTGGTGAACCGGCCCGGCCGGTTCGGGCCCGGTCCGGGCCGGAATAATTGTTTTTTTATTTTTTTTTTTGAAATTTTTTTAATTTTTGGGTTGGATTAGTTATTTTGGGCCATTTGAGGTGGTTTGGGGTGGTTTGGGGTTGAGGAGGAGGGGTAGAGGGTTAAATAAAAGAAGCCAAAAATTTAAAAAAAAAAATAGGGGCGGGTGAACCGGCCCGGTCGGGCCCGGAACCGGCCCGGAACCGGTCACCGCCGGTTCGGGCCCGGGCCCTCCTATTGGTGAACCGAGGCCCGGCCGGTTCAAGGCCCGAACCGGGCCCGGCCCGAACCGAGTCCAGCCCTAAGTTTGGCACACAGTTTAAGATAGTGGATATTGTGTGGTGGAGAGTTGTGCAGAGGAGATAGAAATGTGTAAGAATTATTGTGAACCACAAATTCTGACCAAAAAGGGAAAGTGGAAGTTTTAATTGGGACGGACGAAAAAGGAAAGTTGGAAGTTTATTTAGGGACGGAGGGAGTATCAAGCATTTTTTCTAAAATCATTAAAAATCACTTTAGTAATCCCAAACACTCAATTGGTATGTTATGAGTCTACATGAGCCAAATAACAGCGCAAAAATCAGAAATAGCCTTTCAACGTATTCCCCATACTACAGTCTTCAGTATAACATACAGTAGCATTATTATAACGAATAAGGTTTAGTACAGATCTTTCTAGCCATCACTGGATGGGTTACGACCAGCAGCTTGCATCACACTCTAGAGATCAATATCGCCTGGAAAATAACATTGCATTGAACACACAAAAGTTTTATGCACATTAAATACATTTACTTGTTGAACTGTACAGTGTCAAATAAAATGCAGGTTAGACAAAGAGGGATAGATGAATTAATGGATGTTCTTATTTCCAATTAAATTAATAAATAAATAAATAAAACTCATGAGTAAGTACAAGAATAGCTTTCAGAATTTCAACAATCTGCATTCCAGATGTTGTATATGATTATATTTCTGCCTGCACACTAAGCCACACCCCACACCAAGGGGAAATAAATGGAAAAAGTGCGCTACTACTTTTATGGCATACAAAACGACCATGCAAATTATTAAAAGCAGTGTAGTACGAGAACCAAAAACCTTTCACCAGTTTGGTGTTGATGGCCATCTAGAATCACTAACCAGAAAAATGCTACTCTGTACTACGTATTATAGTAATAAACTGTTCTGTTTTAAAAAGTAGACAATGATCTGTTAGGAGTACAGGGGAAATATTTGCAACATCCAGATCTGAATATTTTTCACATGGATTTTGATAAAGCAAAAATGTTGAAGAAAATTAAATGGATTTATTGAGCATAAAGAATAAAAAAAAATATGAAAAAGTATAAGCATCAGTGAAACCCTTCAAGAGCCATGAAGGAACCCTTGCAAGAATATTTCATGCTCTAAGCAATTTTATTGTTTTATTTTCTTCAAAACTCTTGATGCCTTTCTTCTCAGGAGAGACAGCCTAATTTTTAAGGGAATATTGAAGAATACAAATCCATATCTTGTGTCCCTAATTATCCATCAGCTTGATTAGCTCCTTTTTATATACTCAATTTGATAGAGAGAGAGAGAGAGAACCTGTGGCGGTCATGATATCTTGAACGTTCGATGGACCTCGACCTTGATCTGCGCCGGCTGCTCCTAGAATCATAGCTGCGTGAATGCTCCCTCTCCCTATCATAGTTACGGTCATCATGGTGCCGCCTATCACGCTCTCTGCTCTTGTGATCATAATCCCTCCCTCGTTCACCGCGACTCTCACTTCGATCCCTGCTTGGTTCCCTTTCACGCTCCCGGCTACTTCGTTCTCTAGATCTGAAAAATGGAAAAAAAGCAAGCAGTTAGCAATAACACTAACAAGAATGACAAACAACTAATACATTGTGCGATTGGCAATGTGGGAGGGAAGCTTTCTGCCTTCACCTTCTCTCTTCTTCGTGTGATTTTCGTTTTTTGTTTTTGTCTTCCTGCAAAATTCAGCATCAGAAATGTGAATTTGAAGCATAACATTGACATACTGCTGCTTAATCCTATTTCTGATTAAAGTGCATGGTGTTCACGTAAAAGCAACAATGTGAAGGATGAATATCATGACATGATCACTGTAGAAATATGGGCCCATATATTATGCTTTTCTTCAAGCAACTGATCATTTACATTGGGAAATTACATTAGCTATAGGCCTTGAAATTCAACAAGTCATAAACTCATAATTTCATTCTCAATTAAGTTTTGCTAATATCACCTGCCCTTACCCCTAGAACATTGGTGAAGTTACATCATGGGACATTGCTCGGAATGTCTCTCATAGTGCTTGCTTGTGCACTTCTAACCACAATGGGCGCAACTAAATTAGAACCAGCAAACTGTGACTAGAAATGAGGCGGTCAAAACAACACCACAAAATAAGACATATTGAGAGGAACACCAAGTCAAACCCACTAGCATATTGTTAACATCTCGCAGTTGTGATATGGAACACTCAATCAGGCATGGGTGTTGCACACATATGACAACAAAGATCCTGATGGGGGATTTATTCTGAACTATTGTACTGTACGATACTGTCTCTTTCAATCACCATTTTAGTTTTGAAACTCTCGGGTTATAATCAAGGTATTTTCCAGAATATATATCATATGCATGACGATATCCCTTTGCAGCTATGAGAAGAACTAGCAGAACCCTGGCTCTAGGTATCACCAAAAGAACAAGACAAGAAAGTGGTAGTAATCTAATATCAGTACATTATGCATAGGGTGATCTGGATACTGCTATTTAGCACAAGTTGAGTGTCCATGTTTTTTTATACTCCATTAGTCCATTCATCCCAACAAGATTTATCTTCGGGGAATCTTTTTCCCCACTATAATATAAAAATAAAGTTCATGTAAAGCCAACCAGAAAGTGATAGTCATCCAAATCTCTAAATGGGGAGGGTTCTCATGAGAACCCCTCTTACAATGAGACAATGAGAAGTTGAGAACTTATTATCTCAACCTTTGATGTTTTCCAATCAATGATTAATTTTCACGTGGGGTCACATTTGTAACCCCAAAACTCAAACAGGGGAATTGTTTGCAATTATTCTTAAATAATTACAAAAATACAACTATGTGAATACTAGCCATTGATTAAAAAATGAAAGGTGAAGATTAGAAGTTCTTATTTTAAAATAGATTCTCATTCTAAGGTAAGTTCTCATCAGAACCCATCCATACTCTAAACAATCATGGAAATAAGTTATGAGTGTAAGTAACCATCAATAACTTTTAAAAGCTAGTATTTTGATTGGGTAGACTAAGAATAAAAGCAGATGCTTTACTCAGAAAATAAATTGTCATTTTTGTGAATGAGGTAGTAGTTTAATTATCGTTTAAACTACGATATCATAGCTCTTTGTTCCTAATGATATAAATTTGAAAATAATAGTACTTCCATCAAAATTTCCATCTTATTCAATATTCATATTAGCCAAAACAATAAAATTTTTGAAGAACGGACAGATATTCTACATCCAAAATAATCATAGAACGACAAGCTTTGAAAAGTAGACACGTACATAACTCATTTACAGTGTCCAAACAATTAGCAAGATGCCACCAAGAGAAAACTGCATAATTTTTCATTCCAAAAATGGCAGTAGTAAACGACATCAGACTTCTGGAAGCTTTATCGGATAGGGTAACTTGCTGAAAAGTGCACATATCAATCCATATGATGCACATTTTATGGGGAAAGAAAAACTCAGAGTTAATAATGTAAACTGAAAATCTCGGTAGAAGAATGTGAAACAGCATAGCAGCACATTTCCAAATATCAGACTTCAGAGTTTAGCTAAACATTACAAGAGATCTTATGGAAAACACTGAAATATTGTCAAGAAGCTGGTCCTCAAACCTTCATGTTCCATGAAAGATCAAGATAAGGTGGCAAGGACTTAACAATTTTTTATCCATTCAGGAACTAGTTAAAAGCACGAAGTATCTTAAATCTTAATACAATCCTAAAAAAGGATGCTATAGTTGTAACAAAACAAGGCAAAAAAATATTTGAAAGCATACCTGAAGGTCTGCAAGCTTCTCTCGGATTTGGATATAACCTAAGTGGAGCTTTCCTCCAAAATGGTCAGCTAAACGACGATCACTGGAAAGAAAAAAATGCATACCGACACAGATTGGTCATTAAAAGATCCAATCAACTTAAGTAATAAAGTGATTACATAATAAAATTGCCCCAAAATGACCTCAATTTTCTAGCCAATGATAGCATGATATACAGTAAACAGAAAAAAGACGCACATCATTTAGCTGCAAAAGATAATCCTCGTAAAACTGGGCCCAAAAAGCCTGCTGGTACAATGAGGTAATCCCACTGTCAAATATTGAAGTACTCATAACTCCAAATGTTCTTTGTCGTCCCTATAAAGCTAATGACTAATTGAAACAAGAGTGCAAAAGGTTTACCTGTCATAAACACTTAAAAATGCTCCACATATGTCACAAACACGCAACTTCTGATCAGTCTGCATATGTGAAAAATATAAACAAAATCAATAACATGGTTACAACTTGCAACAGTACTTGAAGTTACATAATATATGAACACAATCAATAATCATGTTACAACAATACTTGAAATTACATGTATGTCGAGTAGTAATCTACTCAACTGACTTTTTATTTATATACATCTTTCCAACTAATTTGCATTGATAAATTTCAGTTAAAGGGACAAAAAAAGAAAACAAAGATGAGAGTCGTAGTTCCGATCATAACTTTATATAAACACACCAATAACACAACTTGTATCCAAATGCTTTTGGGAAACCCATAATTTAAAAAAAAAAAAAATTCGCTCAATTTACCTTCTCAATATAGGAAAAACAAAATGCATTGGTTAAAAAATAATTGCTGTAGAGCTTGGTTTTTTTCTTTTGTTGAAATAATGAAATTGTGCTGTGGGCACGCATTTGATGTTAAAGTAAGAAAATATTTTGACTTACAATGCGTACATCCGCAGCAGAGTACTTTGAGGAATCAACTACTGCTTCCTGCCGTGCTGGGAGCTATATATAAAAGCATAAATACAGAAAAACAAGTACACGTTACAAAGTTATTAAATATATATTGTCATCAGGTAGAGAAAAGATGAGCACACTAGGAAAATGAGACATTAACTCTTCCACATACTGAAAATGAGAAACTGATTTTAAAGATAATAATAGAAATACAATTTAATGATAATTGAATACAACCTTCTTCAGAGCTTCAGCCTCTTCTAGTGCCTTCTGTGCTTCATCAACCATCCCTTGCTCACCTATGTAAGGCACCATAGAGAAATAATTTATAAAAATCTAGATAAATTAATTAAAACGAATTAGGGATATTAGAAAATAAAAGATTAGAAGATTGTACATATCCAGAGAAAATTCAGTTCATTTTTACCGTATAGGTGATAGAAGACAAGAAAAAGGAGGGATTAGGATTTAATATGTTCTATGAAAAATCTGTAAATAAATAACCCAAAATAGAAACTGACTACAAAGATAATAAATTCAAAAGTTTCCATACAGGAAGCTTAAATAACAAATTATTGGAACATTTCCCGACCATAAAAAACATTGACTTACCAAGGTCTTCTGCTTTCTTTAGTTTCTCATTTATCATTTCTTGAATGCGAGGATCAGACACCGCAGCAGGCAAGGGTGCTAAATGTGGAGGATTTTGAAGTGGCTGAGGTAGAGATGCTCGATCTTTGTTATAGGCATCCAACAAAAGAGTTGCCTGCAATCAAAGGTGAATGAATAGTTAGTGCATGGAAATTTACAAATATTGTAAATTTCTCTAAATAATCAGCACCTGCTTATCTGCTCTCTTGGTTCTGAGTTCTTCAATCTCTTCAAGAGCATGGATTTTCATATCTGTCTTGCCTTCAAGATCTGCATAAATAATAGAGACAGAGCTTAGGATACAACACTTCATGATTAAGGATGCTGAAATATAAAAAAAATGACATATATAGAGCATGACTTTCAGAAGTGTTATAAGAAAAATACCATACTGATCAGCTTCTTTTAGCTTTTGCTTAATCAACTTGGACAGTTCATTAACCTCTTCTGTCTGTAACATTGATTGATAACAATAAGGGAAGGAACGGGCAGACCCTACAGGAAAGAGGAGTGAAATCACAAATGCTAAAATGTGCTTAGGCAATTAATACTTGAGTAACTTCAGAAACTGATATGGCAACAGCAGCTTTGGCATCCTCTTCAGCAAGCCGTTTGATGGCTCTTTCTATTTTCCTATCACACTCGACAATCAGCCTGTCAATAACATCCTCCAGGTCTCGGTCATAGTTATCAAGTCCCTTTGATTTTGCATCCTCATATCTATCGAAGAGATTAAGGTGACAAAGAGAAGGGAGAGCAAATATATCTAAAAGCGTGGGTAACCAAGGGAGCATGAGTGCCTGACCATTACTCAATTTTGGTCAAGCATCCAAAAGATAATTTACCAACTCTCCATCAACCAGAAAGATGCAATGAACTTAATCAGCACAAATCATAAAATACCAAGCAAGATTACACTTACCTAGAACATCATTCTAGGCCTCGGTATATCTTTGGTATAAGGGAGGCTAGCATAGGGGTACACACTATATTACTATACATATATATACGGAGTATAACATTATTAAAATCAGGTTGAAAAGAACTTCACATGCAAGAAGGTGGAGAAAACATAAACTTAGGAAATTCCATAGTAACTGGGATACTCTTTCCTCAACTCCAAAGAATGCAACTTTGGGCATGGACCCATATCCATTTTCTGCAAGGGACAGAATACCAGAATGAAGAAAGAGGAAATCATAAACGAACACATACATGTATGAAATGTGTGTGGGAATTCGCATTTCTTTGGACAAAATGTAGGCCGATAAAAAAGCTCTTACGTACTGTGAGTTGGAATAGGTCGTGAGGACATAGGCCGGCAAGGAAGAGACGGCAAACATCACGATCGAAGTACTTGCGATCCACCTCGCTTACATCGCCGTTTCGATTTGCTCCCATCAGCACATCCAACTGTTTCCTTATAGCATCCATGGCTGTTGATGATGAAGATTATAAACTCCGGTGATCCAGCTCGGCCTTCCCTCTACCACTAACGAATGCAGTGCTACTCTTCCGCTTCTTTCAATGTTTTGATGTCTCCTCTCTCTCTCTGTCCCGGTTGGAATCCAACTTGAGGACTGTACGCGAAGTTGTAAATTTTCGGTATTTAGGGTTTGACTTTGGCTGTTTAGCGCATGATAATTTGCAAGTTAAATGAAAGTCGCTCTAACCCTCTCTAACTAAAATTTTCAAATCTTATAATGGTAGAGTTGAACCATGAGAGGTACGAGGTGCTAGAGTTCGTGAAAATTTTTCTTGTAGTTTTTATCTATTTGTTATTCGTTTTTTTGTGTCCTTTTTTGTTGTTGTTTTTGACAGTTTGTTTGAGTTTTTGTCTCTCTTTATGTCATTAGGTATGGTTAGATCTATGGGAACAGGTTTGACTGTGTCAAGCCCACTACATGATTAGCGATTCGTAATGCTCTCTCAGATGTGACCGTCTCAAAGTCTCACCATAGGGTTACAGTTAGGGTTGTAAACGAACCGAATCGAGTCAAATAATGAGATTTTGTATTTGTATTTGTTTAATTTTTTCGAATACGAATTCGAATTCAAATATGAAACGAATATTAGTTTCAATTTGTATTTGTATTTGTTTAATGATACAAATCAATTTGAGCATAGGTTAAATATTAGTCAAATATCACTTTAAAATAACTTTTCTTATACTCCATGTTTTTTATGTTGTAAATGCATGCTAGGACTTAATATGTGTTTTTAGAATTTAAATTTAATGGATCAATGCATTTTTAGATGGTGCACAATATACTAAAGTGAATAATTTTATGATTAATAAACAAAAATCTATTTCAAACTTTTTGAAATAAACACTAACACACACAAATTAGAAATTATACTTATAATGTGTGAAATAAGTTGATAATTGTAAATATCTAAGTCAAACAACTCTAATTTTATTCTTCAAATCGAATACATAATTATTTGTATTGTATTTGAAAGACATTTGAACCAAAAAAATAATTTGTATTCGTATTTATATTCTGGTTTATTACAAATGGGCATGGAATCTGTATGCAAAAGTGTATATATGGGCTACATTTAGAGGGTATTGTTGTCTTTTAAAAATTATTATAGTGTTATTACTATTGATATTAATATTACTGTTATTATTAATCGAATATATTTGATTAATATTCAAATCGAATACACTGATATTCTTATTTGTATTTGATAACAAATCGAATCAAATTTAATTTTCTTATTTGTATTTGTATTTGAATTTTCCGAATTCAAATCGTCTTATACGAATTCAAATCGCAAATCGAGCACAAATTATTTGATTCATTTACAACCCTAGTTACAGTCGTAATTGTTGGTGTTTCAGTTAGTGTCAGTTTTATTTTCCCTTTGATTGATGTAATGATCATGAATCTTTTGATATGAATAGAGACTTGTTTTGATGATTAAAAAACTAAAATTTTCAAATCTAATCAGATCCGAAGTGGGGAATTTTATGCAACATTTAATTTACCACTTATTAAAATTTGTGCTTCAAGCCTTCCATCCTTCTTCTCTCTAGAGAGAGGAACCCCAACGGCCGTCTCCCTCTTTCTAGGGGTTGAGATTTTCCCACCGCCCCTATCAACATAAGGTTAAAGCGGTAGATTATACTGATTTTAAGTGTTCTAACGTTTGAGACTGCAACTACATCGGGGGAGGTAGCGTTGGCGGATGAACGAGGTGCGGCTGAGAGGTTGTATCGAGGCTGGATCGTGAAGCCTTGATCGGCCATTCCGACGGTGGTGAGTTGGTATTCACCCATATTGCAAGAGTTCGTCCTCTTCCGGAATCATCTCTACCAGGAAAGATTTGTGGTAAGATTTTATTTCAGTATTGTTTTCTCTTTAGTGGTAGTTGTTTATGTTTTAGTCCAAGTAGATTTGGTTTGAATGTTTGGATTTTTGTAGTTTTTCTGATATGCAAGATTTCGATTCCGGTCGTTTTAGGCCTAAACTTGCCCGTTTTTGGTTCAGCGAGTCATGTTGCCTTGTATGAGGTGACTGACTCTAAGTCTACTCCTATAGTTAACGATTGAATCTATAAATTTTGTCTCAAAGTTGTCTTATATGTGTTCTCGATTTTAATATAACGATCGTTCTTTTATGAAAAAAAAACAGATCTAAAGTGAGTGGGTAAACGGATACATGAACCACGAATCGGGCCGAGTCATACACGCTTAGAGCGGATAAGGATCGAGTCTTTATTTTAGAAGGCTAAACAAGGCAAGCAGACAAGTATTACAAAATTATGAACCGAACTCGTTTTACAATTGAAAAACGGGCCCTAGAATGAGTGGAATGACCCAATTTAATATTTCATATTAATACATTCTATTATATTTAATATACTAACAAGACAATATCTTAATCTTAATCTTAAAAAAATATTCTTATAAAAAAATATAAGCACCAATGATGGTAAGGGTACATTAGGAATAGAAAAAATGTTGGTGTACTAAAGAAGCAATAACAATTTGTTCAGTATGCATAATAAGTTGTACATTTTTAATCGATTGATCTTTCTAACCCTGTTCTTCCGTTTCTATTCTGTTGCTTTACGCTAAGTTATAAAAAAACCATCCATTTTCATTCCCGTTTCATCTCTTTAGTGAGTTTAATACTACCTATCAACTTTAACATTTATTTTGATTATTAATAAACAATGTTTTACCTCTTTTCTTTTCAATAAAAAAGAATATCCAATGGGAATTAGGCTACAGGTCATATCCTCAACCATATGTGGTGCTACAGGTCATATATTTTGTCTTGCAAAATATACAACTAGAAACTTTTAAGAACTTTTTAAATACAGACTAGAGTAGTAGAAAAGCTAGAAGATATAGACTTATGTCTACTAAACATGCTCATAATATATACTAATATTTCCGACTGATAATGGCTTTTAAACTATTCCCATTTAACTTAGATCCTTTTTTAAGCTATTAGGATGTTTTTAATTAGGTTGTAATTTTCTGACCTGATTTGCAAATAGCTTTTAATTGGAATGTTTAAGTTTGGTCTTGTCTGTTCTATTTGAATCTCGATTGGTTTGCTTAAATTCGATCTGGTCTATTTGGTCTGGTCTAGGGCTGCAAACAATCTCAATAAAAACATTCTTATTTATCAAATTATTCATCATACATCTTTACGATTTTTGGTAGATCTATTTTACTTTTCTTGGGCCACAATTGTTCCTACGCTTATTAAAAAAATGATAAATGACAGATTACACTCCTAAGGTTTATTTCGATGATTGATTGAATAAGTTGATTAAATCCAATATGAATTAATAGCAATGCACTAAATTGTACTACACACTATTTTTTTGCAATTAATTGTACTACATACTATATTTACTAATAGTTGTGCACTGATTTGTAAAAATTAAGCTTATAATGTGAATTCTTTATTTATTCAGTAGACTAAATACAATTTAATTAGTCCCTGGGGGGAGGGGGGTCTAGGCGCAAAAAAATGAAAAAAGCATGTGTTTAGTTCTTTATAATAGCTAGGTGTGAGTAGACAGGGTTTTTTTCAGTCCTAAAGTAATAATTTTTCGGGTGGAATTCTTTGAGGTGCTTGCTGGTGTTTTTTTAATGAAAATTTATGAGCATGTTGTTATCAAGTCTATATTATGTCCACGAAATTTCATTTTAGAACTCAATCTAGAAGATAGTTAAATAATTTATGAATAATTTATTTAACTGATTTTTCGATTGAATATTAAGAGGAATTTTGTGAACAAAATGTACACTTAATGAAAAACATGCTTACAAAATGTCATAAAAATATCCACGTATTGAAAGAAAATTAGCCTAATATGATTATTTGATTAGTCTATTACTTGATTTCATTCATAGTTGGTTGTTTGATTTTGTAATCGTTGATTGTCTCTATTGAGTATTAGGGAAAGACCCCTTTTAATTCTTTGCCCCTGAGCCTTGAAACATTTAGGATAGGCCCTGCAAAATTTGTTACTAAGTTGTTGCATTTGATTTAATGGTAATATACATTGTTAAGGCTTAAATAGTGTTGACCACGTTTACAAATTCGGTTCATGATTAAGGGAACATAGTGAAACAAGCCATGCATATCATGAAAGGATGCAAATATGTTCTTTAGGTTTTGATTTTGTTAGCATTTTCTGTATTAATCCCTCAAAAGAGGATTTATAACACCCTCTTTAATACATTCTCTTAAAAAAACTGATTGTAATATAATATACTACGTACTATTCTATTATGTACCATTTTACATATATAAATAGTTTAACAATTTTGAAACTCGAATTGATTAGTGATCTTGAATGGTCCTATCCCCAAACACCAAAAGTTCACTAATAATAAATGTATATCGAACTTTTTCCCACAGTTTACCACAAATTGCAAATCTGCAAATGTAGTTATCATGCCTATGATTTAATGCTTGGATATATATCACATGCGGTTATTAGAATACATGTACTCATTTCTAACTTTCACACGAGTTCTAATCAAACTTCTTAATTTCTTAACTTTTTAGAAACACAATCATTTTCATTCTAGGATGCATATCTTATTGTGTGGAAGAATGGATGATCTTGTTGGATTCAAAATTATATTGTCAATGTTATTGGGCACTATCCCACACACGCAACGCGCGTTAAAAACTAGTAAGTTCATAAATATGTATCCTCAGTCTCCTGTTCCAAATGTATCAATTTGAATTGTTTGTTTTTTCCCCTAAAATGTCACTGTTAGGTTTTATGTCATTAACAATGTCATTGCTGTTATCACAGATTCAATGCTGTTGAGAAACATGTTACTATGACACACGAAAAGTCTTTCTACGACTTTTTTGACCAATATAAACAACTAAAAAAAGACTATCAAACTTTTCAGTTTGTTCGATGGGTGTTTAGGGTGGAAATCGACTAATTTACAATGACAAAAGATGAGTCATTTTTTTTAAAGGCAAACTAGTCTCTTTTTATTTTTCAAAAGGTTAGAGATAATATTTGTGTCATTTTTTCATTTTATTAAACAAAGACACTCGCTCAATGAAGTGTGACATATTCATTAATTATCTTAATTTTACAGATTTATTAAGATTTACAGTATTCACATACACTGATATATAGTGGCAAGTTTAGTTTA